CTTGGCGTCCATAGAGAGGACGATGAAGCGGCGGCCGCGGGGCTCGCTGTGGCGGAAAGAGAGAGCGGTTACACCGAAAGTGGTGGAGAGGGAGCGGTTGCGCATCCATGATGCGGTGGTTGGAGATGGCGAGGGTTTAAGGCTCGTTGATGAAGCTGCTGCCGCCATCAGTGGTTGATTAACGAAAATTGCGGCGGAAGAGAGTGGAGTGAGGGCGGCTGAGGTGGTATGCCTATTTATGTGAAGGGAGCCCCTTGGCTATGTGGCTTACGTGGGAATCAGGTGGTGGGACTTGGGAGAAATTTCTTCTCTTCTCTTCCTTCTTTTCTTTCTTTCTTTCTATTTTACAAATATACATATTTTGTTATATATTAATATTTAAATGCAAAATTTTAGAACATGTCCAATGATGCTCTAAATTATATTTAAATTGTGATTTAGATCCAGAATGATCGAAAATCTCTTCAATAAAGAAATGTAATGTACAGTTTCTCGACGTGAAAAATGATGTAAATTTACATTATTGTGGGGCCTAAAGGCTTTTTCATTGGAGCAGAATTCAGATTTAAATTAATCGATAAATGATAATATCAAAATGATTTTGAAATAGTAATTTACGTTCAATTTTATACCATCATTAGAGATGCTCTTAGATTGTCAAGAAGCATCCAAACTCCCACGCTTCACTAAAAGTGAATTGCTAGGTACCACATTTTAAGAGCAAATTACAAAAAATAAAATAAAATAATAAATTCAGAGATTTATGTCTAAATTAAAATTAAGAAAACAAATATTGTCCATGTTTATATATTTTAATCGAAGTTAAAGTTAACCATTAATCTTATCAATATATTTCATGTGACTCGCATTTTTTCAATTACATATTTTATCAACTTTTATCAAAATTTAATAAAAATATAAAGAGAGAAAAACAAAATGGAAAGTTTATGCTAAGAGGGGTATTTCTAAAATTTTAAAAATGGAGGTGAGGTATTTGTAATTGTCATAAACCTCAAGGAGGTTAATTATAATTTTCTCTAGTAGGAAACATGTTATAATGAGCAAATTAGACTTTTAAATCTCAATCTTTTGAGATTAGAGCATTTAAATTCCCAATTTAATCAAGATTATTGATCGTGTTGAATATTTTTAACAATTGGGATAGAGGAGATTCATGTATCTGAAAGCAATAATAAAGAAAGTAAAATAACAACAATTAAGAGGTATAATTGATTTTCTAATTAAAAATGGTCGAATTTATGTGCATATTTGGTAAAAAAAAAAAAAATTTTTATTCCAAAAAATCAATTTTTTTTATATAATTATTTCACTATTTCAGTTGTCATTTTTGACTTTTTAACTCACAGGTGGGACTGCTTTCCTTTTTAACGATCAAAAAAGCAATTCTCGTAATTACTAAAGCCTTATAGAATACAATCAAAGAAAGTATAATTATTAGGGCTTGTTTTGTGGTGATTT